CCTCCCCTAACCCAAGGGTCTGTTTCCATAGGGCTGTGTTTGAAGGCAGTCAAGGCTAAATTTCTGTAAACAGAGCTTTCCCTGCCCTTCCCCTTTCCCCCTTCCCTAGGCCACCAAGGTCCCTGCCCTTGATTCTGAGCCAAAGACACAAGATAAACAAGCCTTGTTGGAAAGCAAAAGGGCCAGAAGCCAGAGGAAAAAAGGCTCTGGGTTCCTTGCAGAGCCCTGGAACTTGTCCATAAAATAGGAGGGAACAGTCAGGGGAGGGGAGGGGGTGAGGAACCCCTTTTCCTTCAGTCCATGAATTCTTAACCTGGGATCTGTGAGCTTTTAAAAATATAATTTAATCATTGTATTTCAATATAATTAATTTCCTTTGTATTCCTTTGTATTTTATTGGATGATTTAAAAACATGAGTATGAGAAGGGGTCCATAGGTTTTGCCAGAGGGTCCAGGACACAAAAAAGGTATGAACTTCTGATTCAATACAATTAGGCTCACCTCTAACTGATAGAACCTAGGTAGTTGGTGGTGCAGTGGAGAGAGAGCTGAACCTGGAGCTAGGAAGAACCGAGTTCAAATGCAGCCTCATAGACTGACTAGCTGTATGACTATGGGTAAGTCATTTAACCTGTTTCAGCTTCCTCATCTATAAAGTGGAGATCCTAAGGCTGTTGTAAAGATAAAAAGAGACTGATTTTTGGTAAAGCATTTTGCAGACCTTAGAGTGCTGTTAAATGCTAGCTATTATCCATCTTCCACTGAAAAATTCTCTCTCAGAAAAATAGGTGTCCTTTTTAGAAGACAAACTGGCTGACTTAAATGTCAACTTCTTCTTGTTCGCTTTCTCCCTTACCCTCCAATGGAGACAAAAAGTGGGAAGAAAGAGGAAAAAGCAAAGGATTTCAATGTTAGCCTCTTTGGGCCTCAGTTTCTTCATCTGTAAAATGAATGGGTTGAATGAGATGGCCTCTTAGGTTCCTTCCAGTTGTGAATTTGTGATCCTGTGATGGTCATATGGAAGGAGGGTCATGGGTTAGAAGGGTATTGTGGAGAGAGGCAGTAGCACAGCGGCATGGCTCTGGAAATCAAAGGATCTGGGTTCAAATCCCACCTCTGTACCACCTACCTCCTGTATGACCTTAGACAAGTCACCTAATCTTTATAGGCCTCAGTCTTCACATTTGTAAAATAAAGGGTCTTTAATCAGACTAGAGAGCCTCTAAGGTCCCCTTCCAATCCTATGAGCCTAGGAGAGCTGGCTCAGGAGTCAAAAGATCTGGGTTAGAATTCTGCCTCTGCCTCTTCCTGTGCAATCATCTCTCCTGTCTGGGACTCCATTTCTTCACCTATAAAATGAAGGGGTTCCTGGTCTATGATGCTCCTTTTGGCTCTAGATTGAGAATGCTCTGATCTGGAAGAGGCCAGAGTGGGAGAGAGATGCCTGTTTAGAACAGGGCAATTGCTAGTCCCATGGCCCGGAGCAAATCACTCCTCAGGCCTTCAGTTCCCTGATCTATAAAGTGAGGGGTCTGGATTAGACCAAGGGTTTTTAGCTTTGTGTGTACCATGAAACCCTGAGACGGTCAGTCTGGAGAGGCCTATGGACTCTCTCATAACCAAGTTTTTGAATGCATGAAATAGCATACAAAGATTTCAAAGGAAACCAATTACATTAAAATAGTTATTAAAAATGCTTTTAAGTTCACAGACCCCAGGTAAAGATTAGATGAACCCCAAGATTCCTTTCACCTTGAAATATATAGCAATGGGCCTTGTGGTTTCACTGTTCTATGGATAAAGAGAGAGAGAAAGGGAGAGAAAGAGAGAGGGAGGGAGAGAGGGAGAGAGAGAAAGAGGGGGAGAGAGGGAGGGAGAGAAAGAGAGGGGAAGGGAGGGAGGGAGAGAGAGAGAGAGAGGGAGAGAGAGAAAGAGGGGGGAGAGAGGGAGAGAGAGAAAGAGAGAGAGAGGGAGGGAGGGAGAGAGGGAGGGAGAGAGGGAGAGAGAGAGAGAGGGGGAGAGAGAGAAAGGGGGGGAGAGAGAGAGAGAGAGAGAGAAAGGGAGAGAAAGAGAAAGAGGGATGGAGGGAGAGAGGGAGGGAGAGAGGGAGAGAGAGAAAGAGGGGGAGA